CTGGTGCCTTCTGTTCTGACACGAAGCCCGGAGCTATTCTCCAAGTTTTTCCTCACAGTAAGTGTTGTTCTAATCCATTACTAACAGAGGCAAAAACCTAAACCTTCCCAGGATAATTGTAGCTTTACATATTTTTAGTATTTCACATAAAAATTTCAGTCTTTTCTGAAATTTTTTTACTTCCCATATCTGGAAAGAAACTAATATTAAAACATTCAGCACATTCTTCACTTTCCTTATGCATTGTTTAAGTTAGTTGTTCAAGTTTTGTAAGAGTGTGGTCTCTCATGGTTGATATGGATCCATCCTATGATTACTTCCAACATGTTGACAACTTTGCTTGTGCTATTGTTGAAATGGTATCTGCCTCATCTTACAGTCAGAGAGCACATCACATTTCTGCATGTTTGTTAGTTTTCCTCTAAACTTCAAGTGCTGTCATTTTTAAATGCATTTTATTCTGATGGAAAAAAAATAATAAAAAGGACTGCACAAATATGTATAAGGCCTGCAGCCTTCTCCTATTTGTATTCATATCTGGGATGTTTCATTTGTGGAAACCTCCATTCATTTCAGCCAAGTTCCACCACAGAACTTCTGGCAAAAAGGAAGAAAAAGGAACCAGATTTAGGTGGTCCATGCACATATACATGTGGCTGTGTGTGCCACAAGTGGTGAGAAATTATTGCCTGTATACAGGTCTGTTCAGGTTATGGGACAAAATGGTATGTGATCATATGATGCAAATTTATTTCTTCCATATTAATACTGTGTGTTGATGAGTTTTTCAGTTAGGACAGGGTTTTAAAAAATCTGAACTGCTACAATGCATGTTCCTTTTATCTCATGCTCATCACTATACCGTGAGATTCTTCGATGTTCATGACACAAGGGCTCTTTGCTCCCTCAGAATTCATTTCAGATGAAGCCATTAGATCTCACAGCTGCAGTTTAATGTAGGGATTTTAGGTCATCTCAGAACTTACCCTTTTCCAAGAACGGTTTTAATCTTTGTTCAGTACTTGAATATACTTCTTATAATTATGTTTCAAGTGATATTGCAGCTATATTTCAGATTTTACGTATGTAGGAAAATGCTATATTATTTTAATACTGATGGTAGAATAAAAATCTATTCAATATTCACCTTTCAGGAAGCACAATCAAATATCCAAGAACACTATTAGACTTGCCTAGCATAAAGTTTCAAACTGCTAATGGATTTTAAATTGATGTCATAATGCTGCAATTTAAATACATGATGTTCATTAATTTTGCCAGAACTCTTTGTAGAGTAGGAGTGGTATGAAAGAAGGAGAAAGGTTATATTTTCTCTCCCTGCTTCTTTTTATCTCCTTGCCCATTTTTGATATACAAAAAGAATCATTACATCAGCTTGTGGTGTGGGATGAATTTTACTCAAATGGCAATAGGTTTCAATTAGGTAACCACTGTGGAGTTGTATCAAATTAATATTTTCTACGGAAAAAAAATACCAGGAATAGGATAAAAGTAACTAACACATGATGGGCATGATGTTTCCTAAATGTGCATTTCATGGGACCTATCACCAAAAATCCATGGGCACAAAGTGGAGGAAACAAGGGACAGAAAGGTCATCTTGCTCATACACCTCCTTTTCACTGAAAGGTCAAAATTCCTGTACTGAGCAAGAGAGCAATATTGCAAAACAGGCAGTCATAGTCTCCCACAAATCTCAAGGAAAAGAGGTCTACTGTGGGATCCTCCTCAGCTGAGGGGAGTGAGGGCAGGTGCTGGATGCGAATTTTCTAGGTGAAATATTTCAGAAATATCTCAAAAGTGAAACTAAGATTTGTCTAGACACAATGGCCCAGTATAGTACAACACTTCACATCTATTTATATTTCAAATATAGTATGTTTACTGTACATAAAGTCAGTTTTTCCAAAGCTGTTGCTATAGTTACAAATCAAGGAAACCATGGCAACAGCCCTGTATTATGTACAGCCTTAATTATGTCTCTCTTTGCATTTTATATTAAATACTCCCATATAATCTAGTTATAAGAACCTTGGATTTTTTTCAGACGTTTTAATAGTAAAAATTCCCCAATATTATACTGTCAAATCAAGCACACAACACCCTTGAAATATGTCTTTACAGCATTCTTCTGATCATATCTAATAACAGCCACATCACTATTTTTTACTTGAGATAAACACTAATGTTCATATCACCATTTACAAATGACTGATCACTTTAGCTTTAACCACCAATTAACTGATTTTCCATCATTTCATAAGGTTTTCCAAGTCTCACCCCATTCAGCCTTACCCCAAAAGAAACCAACTTTTTTCCTATGGAATAAACTTTTGGGGTTTTTTCCTTTCCTTTGGTTTGGTTTTCCTTTTTCTTCAGAAAGTAAGTAGGCAATAGAGGGACAGGAAAGGCAGAGTAGTAGAGTTCATCTAGATTTTCTAACTTCCCTGTCATGTTGGATGACTGACTGGGTTGGTGGTACATTACCCTGTTTACTCTGGTTGTTGAACTTGCACATGTAATATTTAAGTACAATCACAAATTGGGATTACAGAGCCCTGGCATGCTGCTTCCAGCCAGACCTCAGAGTGCAGCCTGAGAGGAACAGGCAAAGGAGAACAGAGAACAAACATGAAGAAAAGAAGAAGGCTGTTGGAAGTGGCTGAGGAACGGGAGGAGGTGCTATCACACAGCAGAAAACACACAGGACCCAGAGGGGTGACAGGATTCAAAGGACACTCCAGGAGAATATGAACACATTCAACAGGTGTGGAAGGATTTTGCCATTAAAAGAGAAAAGCAAATGCCAAAATTCATGTCTTTAAAAGCCTTCTCTCCTTATCTTCCCTTCCATCACTTTATTTTCTGATCATTCATTACGGTATCATTTTTTCACCATTTGGTCCTTGCCCACTGATGGGATGGCATTTATCCCATTTTGCAAAAAACTTGGCCACATTTGTTTGGGGCATTAGCTGCACTCATGGAGTGGACCTTCTGTTATCTTACATACCACAGAAGCACAAAACCCCTAAAAAATATCATCTTAATTCTATGAAATGAGCAGACATTCAATGCGTTTGACACAATAAAGAAATGAGAAACCTGTGTTTTTAATCTCTATGAACAATTGATACTTGCTGGCCATTTTAATACAATTAATGCACAAATGCTTATTTTACAAAGCAATCTGTGTTTCAAAAATCATAGTCTGAGTGTGTGTTAGGAACATGAGCTCTCTACAGGGGCAGCAAAACAAAACTTCCCTCACACGGGGAATAATTAAGTCAGAAGTCAGTGCATTCACAATAAGCAAGCCATGTTCAGTTTCTTCATTATCATTTTAATTAGCAAATATTAATGTAATCTGCAAACACAAGAGGGAAAACAATTAAAATTACCAAGTTTAAGGAGTCCTTCATGACCTAAGCTAAATTGAGACAAATGTCTTACTAATCGATACCGGTCACCAACTTTCAGGACATTCATTTCCATTTACTGTTAGAACTTCCAAGCGTGTTATCAAATTTAAGAATGAATTAAGGCTCTCACAAGCTACTTCTAACCTCTGATGAAGGCAATGGTGGATAAAAAAGGATTAGCATGCTCCTCTCCTCTCCAGTTATCAGTTCAGACTGATAGGGATCAAGTGACCGTGGCAGCTCTGCCTCATTCAGATTCCATGTGTGCACTGTGAGAATACCCCAGGGACATGCAGAACACACTGCCCTCTCATTTCTAGAGGGATGAAGATGCTGGATGAAGCCTTAGCCCTTCTGAACTCAACAGCACCTCCCATTCCTTTCACTGGGACTACAGTTCACACCCAGACAGTTTTCCTTTCAGGTGCTTGTCCTTCTTCTTTGTAGATAATGTACTTTGGCCTCCAAAATACTCAGTGCTGCATCTCACATGGACAACAATTAAAAGCTTCAGAAGTTTAAAAGAAACTGCCTCCTAAAAACTATACCTCCCTCTCGTTCTGATTTTTATATTTAACCCACTAAAGGTAGAATAATGACTAATTTGCCCAATACACCTTCAGGACTACATATCATGAAGTGGTAAAGTATTTTCATTCTCTATAAAAGGTGTTGTGTGAATGAATTTCATTCATTAATAACTGCAATTTTATAAAGAAAAATAAATAGCAGTAAGTAGAAGTCTGACAGTATTTCTCATGACTGATCAGAAATAACTTCTAGAAAGAGGTCACTCTTTCATTTTACCTTATTTTGCAAGTTTCCACCTGTTATAAATATTAAACAGAGAGAGGAAGAGTCTGAGCAAAATGCACTACCATCACCAAAACCCAACAATGGCATTAGATATTTTGACAACTAAGACAGTTTAAAGCAGGAGTCCCTATAAAACCTAATTTCATCACACGAGTATTTTTAACACAGAGCAAGTATTTTGCAAAGCAGATCCAGGTCAATGCATTTTGAAGTACAGAATGGAAATAGATACCTGGCTTTGAAATAGCTACCATGTGTTAGTGCAACAGTTTCAGAAAAATCCAGTAAACATCTAGCTTTATACATTTTCTACACTCACATATGTTCATTTCACAAATCCCTCCCTTTTCCTCTTCCATGCCCATACAAACACAAATAAACTACTTCTTCCTTGGGAATCCCAGGCAACATTACAACAAACACAAGAAAAGCTCCTTTTGAGTTTTATGGATTGAAATTGAAATTAATCTGAAAAATGTTTTTGCTTGTTTAAATATCAGTTTTTGCTGCAACCAAGTGTGACTTCGAGACCAGCTCACTGCTCTCTCCACTGCAGACATGACAGAAATTTTAAAAAATTTCATTTAAGTGGTAGCACACTTCTCAAATAACCACTCTGCTCAGAAACACTGCTGGCTTCAGTTTTCACACTGGGCAGGTTGGTAGAAAAGCATTATATGGGATCAGAGAAAAAAAAAGTCTACTGGTCCATTTTGCTGTTCTCTTGATACCAGATCTTACCTCTTGCGTTTTTACGTTTATATATCCATAGTGAGTTCTCAGAGGATGCCTTTGGCCATTAGAAAATGGGATCCACTTGACACTGGTTTGTCCAAAGCAGTTTAGGATCAAAGGGAAAGTTACTTCATTTGTGAGACGGACTATGATTAGGCAGAGGAAAGCTGCAATGAAACTCACAGCAACAATGGACTTTCTCTGCAATGAAAAGAAGAAAGGAAATAAATTATTAAAATTAAGAGTCAGTTTTAATAAAAAAATACATCTCTTCTATTGTAGGATGAAGGAAAAACACTTGAGAAAGCTTTATGTGAAATTATTCCTCTGGTAGTCACCTTGCTGCAGGAGCACAAGGAGACAGGTGACTGGACCGTTTTATTTCAATAAATTTGCATTTCAGAGGTTTTGAGAGTTTATTTTAGAACTGGTTGGAAATGAGTCTGTTTTGCTCACCAAAAAAAAAGGGGTTTTTTTAAGTTTCAAAAAACATCTATCAACTTTAAATTTTATTTGCATTTGGAATGAAGATTTTATGTAAACATCCCCACCGAAGTCCCCATTCCAAATCATCAGTGCTCTAAGACATGACAAATACACAAAGGGAAAATGCTACTACACCACCACAAAGTTTATTGGGAAGACTATGATCACTGATTGTACTTATTGTGCATTAATTTTAAACCATTCCATGCAACAGAACTCATAGTCTAACTTTAAATATTTTAGAATAAATGGTTGGCAAAGTCAGTACCACATTCTGCCTCATTCCAGGTTCATGAATTTACAAAGTGAGGCGTTATTATCTCGGATGAGTTCCATTGTTAATAATGTAACAGACCCAAAGCCTGTATCTATTTAGCCTTTGCCTTCTACCTCTAACCTATGTACTTGGTTGGACTGGTGAATGTAACAACAGAAAGATCACAACTTCTTCTTTGGGTAACTGCCCAGTCTGTAGGAAAAGAACTCGTAAGAAATAGGATGTTCTCCTAATTTTTAGTTATTTTTTTAAAAATACTGCGGTCAATTACTTCTAGACAAATTACTTAAGGACAAAACATGTTAGTTGGCCTGTGTAAAGATTCTAGATACGACACTCCATGAAAAAGATTATTTTTACATTTTCCCTGAGGGAATGAAACAATTTTCATTTACAGGTGTTTTTGCTGTACTTTAATTACATTCCAGGTTTACCTAATTTGCCACAGTTTAATCACCCTACTGAATGTAATTCTATCCCTGCATACAGTAAAATATACAGAAAATAGAGGGGGAAATAATTATTTGCCTAAGGGCCTACATAAGCGTATAATAACACTCAATGCTGGATGACAGAATCTGATCACCCCAATGCCCACCTACAAATATCAGACTAAGCAGCACAGTGCACATTTAAGACCACTTTTTTACATGACAGCAGTAAGAACACACGTTCTGGAATGGTGATGGAGGGGTGAAAGATGAACTGTGACTGCAACCATGTAAGATGAATGTGTTCTTTGCCTGGAGGTTCATTTGACAGTCTGCAGACACTAAAATTCAAAATGCTGTGCAGAAGAAATGATGATATTTACACAGAGGTCATATTGGGAAAGACAGAGACAAAGTTTTACTGAACATGAGCACACAAGACCTGTGCCCGCACACAAGGCCTGTAGGCGCTGCTGCCATGCTTTGGTTCTGTTTCTGGACACAGACAACAGTGAGAATCACAGAATCATGGAATCAACCAGGTTGGAAAAGCCCTCTGAGATCATCAAGTCCAACCCTTGCTCCAACCCCGCTGTGGTTCCCAGCCCATGGCACTGATGCCACATCCAGTCTCATCTTAAAAACCTCCAGGGACAAAGAATCCACCCCCTCTCTGGGCAGCCCATTCCAATGTTTGATCACTCTCTGTAAAAAATTTCTTCCTGATATCCAACCTAAACCTCCCCTGGCACAGCTTTAGACCCAGCCCCTCTTGTCCTACTGCTGATTCCTGGGAGCAGAGCCCGACCCCCACCTGGCTCCCCCCTCCTGTCAGGGAGTTGCAGAGAGTGATGAGGTCTCCTCTGAGCCTCCTCTCCAGGCTAAACAGCCCCAGCTCCCTCAGCCTCTCCTCACAGCACTTGTGCTCCAGTCCCTTCCCCAGCCTCGTTGCTCTTCTCTGGACCTGCTCCAGCTCCTCAATGTCCTTCCTGAGCTGAGGGCCCAGAACTGGACACAGCACTCCAGGGGTGGCCTCACCAGCGCTGAGTCCAGGGGAAGAATCCCTTCCCTGCTCCTGCTGCCACACTGTTCCTGAGCCAGGCCAGGATGTCATTGGCCTTCTTGGCCACCTGGGCACACTCTGGCTCATGTTCAGAATGACAAAGAACACACAGTGAATTTGAAGGGATGTTACTGTATTTCCCCCTACAAGAGTTAACAAAATAGTCCATTACAGGGGTCAACTGCACAGCTCTATGTTTCGATGTACTGGGAGGCTACAATTTATGAGATAAAAGCAATGAGAGACTGGGATGAAAAACTTGGGTGAACGAGGTCACTGTGAGGAGAAAAGGAAGAGGAGAATGAAGAAGTATTGTGGCAACGTGATTCAGTGAGGAACCTCAGCCAGCTAATGGCTGTGCAATGTAAAATTAAACCCAGCAAATCTTCAGAGGGCAGCGCAGCAGCCACAGCCCAATCGCAGCGTCCAGAATTCATGGAAGCCACTGCACTTTTCATCATCTGCATTATAACAGATTTACATTAAATTGCAATAAACTGGCTGGGGAGCACTTCTGTGTCACTTCTCTTTGTACCAGATGGAGTCAGAAACATTTAGCTATATATCAGAGCTAAGAGCAGCCAAGATGTGCAGCGCAAGTGATAATCATAAAGCAATGAGAAGAAGCACAGATTAGTCATATTATTTATTGCAAATCAGAATGAAAATATTGCAAATATTTAAAGGGGGATCTAGAGTCTCATTCCACTACATGAGCATGTTTCAATCAAAACATCCACAGCAGGAAGCAGGATTACTGCCCTGCATGATGCTACTACCTCATTTCCACATATCCCATCTTCCTGGTTTATTGAATGCCACCTTTTACTTCCTTTATTTTGTGCAAATCTGTTCTGAACTTGAAAACACTGCAATCATCTTTATGTGCTTCTCAGAGGGAGCTGTTCTAAATAGCCTTTGCCCTGAGAAGAATTCAGATTGTGTAGCTATATTTCCTGGCCTTCATTAGGATGCCACTTGATTTTTATATTTCCTCTCTTTAAATACACTGCACTACCAGATGAAAGAACAAAGTGTGGCCTTCTTTTGTTTTTTTTTTTTTATGTAAGAAAATATTGTTTGAAAAGGAAAACAGCAAAGATTTTTCTTTGTGTGTTGCTCAGCCAGAAAGAATCTGCACTAACAAGAACATTCCAATGAGAGAAACGAATTTTTACAACAGAAAGGAATTTCAGCATCTGTTAAAATTGTTTTGGAAAAAAAAAATCTTGCCATATGCAAACACAATGATTACTTATCAACTTGTAAAAAGGAAGTTTGTGTTAAGTATCGAGTTCCCCTATAATTTTTGTTGAAGGCATGAGATCCAACAATATGCATTTTAAGTAGGAAAGATTACTGCAAATTGGCATTTCAGTGTATATAAATTTCACTGTAAAAATATTGAAAAACACCAAAACACACACTTTTCATAATTTTAGCCTTCCTAAGCATTAAGTAGGGCAGTCTGCTCAGTGGCCAAGAGGCACTTCTAAAAGTAATCTGTTTCCCTTAAGTTCTTCTCTCCTTTACCTGCTCATTATTAAAAAAATAGAAACACTACAAAACAAACAAACCAAAAAACAACACACAAAACCAAAACCAGATGCTATTTGCCTTGAAGTGCTTCTTTTAAAATTTTCTTTTCTGCAGATAAATGGATTTTGTTATCAGTCCTCTGATAAAACTTAAAATTTAGCATTTGAGACTCCAGGAGTTCTACATGACATTAGGAGATGACACAGAAGTATGAAGCTGTATACAGCGATGAATAACAAACTGTAATTTGTCTCAAAAATTGTCTGCATCAACATTTTAAATACTTACACATTGTACCATTTGGGAGAGCTAAACCAACACTCATTAGCAAATCTGCACAGAAACAAGTCTTATTCCTTCTTAATTTTCAGTTCTCATGAATGCAAACAGTCTCTTAACAAAAGAACTGTTTCTCTAACATGGAAATATATAAAGCTCAATCAATCTTTATATTTTTCCGGCTAATTTAATGTAGATATTTTGATATTGACAACATTTACATAAAAAATACATATTCAGTTATAAACATCTTCTAAACATATTCAGTGAGGAGTACACAATAAGACATATGTTAAAGAGTTTCTTAGCTGGATGACTTGCATGGTATATTAGCTTTTGTAACATTTTATTTCACTCGCTATAGCACATGACAAGCCTAGATGACAGTAGCAAGAAAAAAATTACCAATCTTATGGATACAGGATCCTACAGCAGAAGAGTGAAGGAGTTGTGTTAATTAGACTAAGTACTAGCTCATTCATGGTTTAAAAAAAAAGAAAAAAGGTGGTAGAAGTGGACACACAAGATCAGAGTACATGTACTGCAATACCAGGGACCTCGCTGGGCCAAAGGCACACACTGGAACTAAACAATTTCTTTTAACTCTTTTTACTCAGTCCTCACAATAACATCATCTCAGTTTTGGTTTCAGTTATTTCTCAGACACCAAGCTCATTCTGTCTAGTATGTATATCAAAATCAATAAGCAGGAGGAATGATTCACACTTCTCAGGCTTCAATTTATATCTATGTTGTTAAAATAAGAACTGAAAAATAAAACCAGGAAGTTTCATATTACTAGGCTGGTTAGGATTTAATTAAAAACTTCATGGAAATAAAACAATAACAGTACTTTTATGGGTATAAATATATATATTTGGCAACATGGTCCCTAATAGTATTTATAACCTTCATATCATCTAGTTTTGGCTATTTACCAATGCCAGGGTGATTCATTAGCTTCAGTTTGGCAGGAACTTGACAGTCTGAACAAGTTTTAGCCATTTTTCTTTCATAATCTGTTAAGAAGTGTGAGATGACAAGATCAATTTTTTTTATAGTTCAATAATGCCTGATGGAATAATACGATACAAACACTTTTTTGGTGTTGTATACAGATGTCTAG